ACTGCTACGTCAAGAAGAAGCTTATTAAACTTCTTCAGTTCCTTCTAGCAAGTAATAATTAGACCGCCTGTTGTTTCGCAACACCGCGGGATTTTATGTGGTAGCCAGTGACTCATGATGAGTTGTGCCAGCCTCCTCAATTTATGGAATCGGATGTACGCATAAAGTTCGGTCTCTACCGCGTTGACATATACTCACTTGGCAATCATATATTGGCAGATGTTTAAGCAGCCAGTCTATGCTAGTAACTGGGGGGAGTTATTGGTGCTCAGCGTTTTGGAGTCGCCACTAGATACTCCGACCAATCAGACCGTGCCACGCAACCGTCAAACCAAACAACTTTCGTAGCACGGTTATACACACGATAATTGAGAGCAATTGATACCGTGACGAAAAAGTTTGTCATTTTATCTTCTTGTTGACATCACCACTGTGATCTGACGAGAGACTGAATAACCAACATTGTTCATCTGTTACCCAGTAAATCCGTAGAATATCCGTACAATAACCCAACCATCATACGATAACTAATCTGATCAGGTGCATAAGGCGATGTGAACTGATGTAAATTGTTATAGGACTGGCCAAAATAAGGAGAAAACATACCACTGTGTACTTCCATTGCCGTTATCAGGACAAGGCTTGACAGTGTTGGACCCTTTTATTGCGTGAAAAATGTGTTCAACCCAAAGTTGTTTGAATAAGGGTAGACATGAGTGTTCCTCTCTAGCCCGCAGGGACCTGTCAGAATTGCGTTAACTGTGGAATGTATGCGAATTTCCGAATAAAACAATCGAAACACACAAAAAAACGGAATACACACCTTTTTATCTCAACGCCATACAACAAGACAGCCCGTGTAGCCCGCAGTGTCAGAATTGCGTTAACTGTGGAATGTATGCGAATTTCCGAATAAAACAATCGAAACACACAAAAAAACGGAATACACAACACACCATCTCAACGCCATACAACAAGACAGCCCGTGCTGTAGCTTAATACACACGTCCCTTCAGATTCAGGGATAAACCATTTGACGCCATAGGCGTCTCAATTTAGCAAACGCGGCCCGAGCCTTGCAGATTCGTGCATTCAACTCATCTGTCACACTACAGTCAGAACTAATACAACTTCCCAGATACGTAAAACGCTCCACAACTTCCAGTGCCT